TGGGATGGCCAGTGTGTAATTTAGAGTACATAAAATTATTGGGGTCAGTAAGAATTAAGAACATGTTGCTGGGGTTGCATTAGACTTAGATTTGCTTGCTTATTGCAAAAAAGAAATCCAAATTAATAATGGCTAAGTAAAATAAGGATTGAATCCCTTTTTTAAAAGAAAGGCTTATAGTGGCAGTGCCATTGTACCATCTCCCTGAAGCTCATTCTAGTTTCAAAGCTACTAACTAGCACAGTTGTAATTTTTAGGGTTGCATGTAGACTAAGATGAATGCTAAAACCTAGTCATCTCACATATTCATTCTCGGCAGAAAGGTGGAGAAAAGAGAGAGAGGATCAGTAAGATCTTTCCTTTGATGTCATTTTTCCTTTTAAGGAGACTTTCCATAAGTTGTATGATGTTAGTCTTACTTACATGGCCTTAGTTTGCTTTGAAGAATACTAGGGAATCTACTCTTGGCTAAGTACATTCTAATCCTTGATGATAGAGGTATCTTTTAGAAAGGAAGATAGGAAGAATCAAGTGAAATGGTTACTGTCTTTCCCTTGGTATTGATTATCTATGTAACAACAGAGTTTTCAAGATGATGAAGGGACAAGAAAAGACCCCAAGGTTCATGAGCAATTACAAGTGTAACATGTTTAGATGGCAGAGGGTGGCATGAGCCCAAGACCGGAGTGTTGAGAATATATTGAAATTTAAGTAGCAGTAGAATTTAAGTATGTGAAGAGGTAAACCTGCCAATCTTAAGAGGAATGTGAGAGAATTTTTTTTAAATCCCTCACTACTCAAAAGAACTGAAATTATAAGTGATTTCTTCATGTGACATCAGGTTTTAGTTAAGTCGGAGAAAGAGATCTGAGAAGATGTAAAGGGGTATGCTGATTAAGCAGTAGTAATCCAGGGACCTGAAATAGGGGGAATGAGGGCGTAGGGAGGAAACTGTCCTAGTTGGGGCAAGAAAATATCTCATCATAATTAAGAGAATTGGTCATGCAGTAGGGCCATGATTCTCAACCTTTTGATTGATCACCTGCCCATATATATATATATATATATATATATATATATATATATATATATATATATATATATATATATATTTTAAATGAACCTAAATCTCTTTTATGTATATTATTTGTAAATTATATTGATGTATTGATGTACTAATATATATCATGAGATATGTAAAAATATAAAATTTAGAAGAATGAAATAAAAATACCCAGTCAAAAATGGTAATGTTTTCTTTGTACATTCCAGGCAGTTGTTTTCTGAATCCTGGAGTATGTGAGTCTCAAAGATCTTAGCTTCAGTATAACTGAGGGTACTGGCTCTGTTAAGAAAATATGAGCAATGTGCATGGGACCTGGCATTCTAATCCCTATTCTCTACTGGAAGCTGCCTTCTTAAAAATAAGAGCAAGGACCCTATTAGCCTTCAGGAATTTTGGCAGTACAGTAAGGCATAGTAATATTAAATTTAGGGAAAGAAAAATTATATTATCATTTATAGATGTTATTATGGAAGAAGATGACATGATCTGGGATGTTAGCAAAATCAAATAGCCAAAAAGCATTACAGAAGAAACCATAAACCACTGTAGAAAAGATTAGCATATTAAGTGATTTTGAAACAGATACCAGTAACTTGGGAAATACAAGTTAGACTAGAGTTAAATTGAAAAGATTAGACCATAGAAAAAACCAGAAAAGTCATATAACTGATTATTTAATTCTCTGGAGATAAAAGAACTTTCCAAACTTAGATTTGTTGGGGTTGGAGGATTGTCACAAATAGTAGTTTGGGCTACATAAGCATTATAAGGTACTTTATTTAAAAATAACATTCAAAAATTAAAAGACTGGGCATAGTATTTACAGCCAATATTTTTATTATTTAAAGAGCTCATATGATACACTTTAAAAAAAAGAAATATAGCACAAACTCTGAAAGGACAAGGACAGCACACAGAAAAGAAGTGGTTAGGGAGTTCTGATAAGTAAAACAGCATGCCTCGGTCAGGCACAAGACTTGAATAACTCAAAAGAAATATGAGTGGTTTTGGTAGCATTTTTTTTTTCATGGCATTATTTTTTATTCTTACTTGCATCCCTTGAGTATTTTTATGTAAATTTTTTATTTATATGTCACAGAAGAATGCATTACAATTCTTATTACATACAAAGAGTACAATTTTTCATATCTCTGGTTGTATACATAGTATATTCACACCAATTCATGTCTTCATACCTGTACTTGGATCGTAATGATCATCACATTCCACTTCATTAACCACCCCATGTCCCCTGTCTTCCCCTCCCTCTGCCCTATCTAGAGTTTGTCTATTACTCCCATGCTCCCTCTCCCTATCCCACTATGAATCAGCCTTGGAAGCAGTTTTAATAGGGATTGAGGCAACTGATTAAAATCTAGCATAGTTAAATGAGAAAAAGGCCTAGATATTTGGTAGATAATGTGAATGGTTAAAAAGAGAAATGAAAAGGAGAGAAAATTTAAGTCAGATGTGTGACCAAAGCAATGGATATTTAAGCTATTCAACATTTTTTTTTTTTTTTTTTTTTTACCTTTCAAATCAGTATCTGTACATCAAAGTGATCACTTTTTTGCTGGCTAGTATACAATAAAAGCACCATGCCTTTACTCTGTTATGGGAGTATCAAATGTGTATGGCATTTTTAAAAATATTTTTTTAGTTGTTGATAGACCTTTTATTATTTTTATTTATATGTGGTGCTGAGAATCAAACTCGGTGCTTCACACATGTCACGCAAGTGTATTACCGCTGAGCCCCAGCCCCAGCCCATGTATGGCATTTTGAACCTCCATTTTTTTCCTTCTGAAACTGGATTTAATCCTTAATTTTGGTATGAGGAAATAAATACATTAGTAAATTTCAAGCTGTCTAACATGAGAGGTCTAAAAGTCTTAGTCATTAAAAAGTATAAAATAAGGGGCTGGGGTTGTGGTTCAGTGGTAGAGCACTCACCTAGTATGTGTGAGACAGTGGGTTCGATCCTCAGCACCACATAAAATTAAATAAAATAAAGATATTGTGTCCATCTACAACTAAAAAAAAAAATTGTGTAAGTACAAAATCAGATAATATCATTAAAATTAACAGCGGGTACAAGAAATCACTATCATGAATATATTAATACATTTTCAAAGAGGAGTTTATCAGGTAGACGTAATTGAATTGTAAATCCTAGGAGTAACTAACATATTTCATTATGATGCTATAGTAAAGCAAATGGTGATAAGCTAATGGACTAAAAGCAGGATGAACAATTGGGTCCTATTTCATGAAAACATAATGGATGATAAAAGTGACATTTTTATCAGTGGGGCAGAATGCACTTTATTTCATTTATGTTTGTATCTATTCAGAAAATGTTTATTCAGAGCCAAGCGTTAGCCTAGATGCCAGGGATACATCAGCAACAAGATAGGACAAAATCCTCGTTATCATGAAGTTTGAATTGTGGTTAGATAAATACTAAGCATTATTAAATATAAGATGATTTTGTCCTTAGGTGAAAAGTAGGGAGGGAAGATAGTTTCACAAAGATTCCAGGGAAGGGGAAGGAATTTATATTTCTACTTCATAACCTGTAAGGAATTTTGCTACAAATCATTTTGTTAAAAAGAAAACCAATCTGAGTCAGCACCATGGTGCACACTTGTAATTCCAGTGGCTTGGGAGGCTGAGGCAGGAGGATCACAAGTTCAAGGTCAGCTTCAGCAACTTAACAAGGCCCTAAGCAACCTATCAAGACCCAGTCTCAAAATAAAAATATATAAAGGTCTGGGGATGTGATTCAGTGGTTAAGTGGTCAATCCCTGGTACCAAAAAAAAAAAAAGAAAGAAAGAAAGAAAAGAAAACTAATTTAGCAAAAGTTGTGTTTGTTTTTTTTTTTTAATTTCTGTATCCACAAAGGAGAATATAGAGCTATGCCATAAACATCTAATACCTTTTTAGAATTCAGGAAAATGCAAACTTAAAGAGTGAACTACTATTTTCAGTCTTTTGATTGACAAGAATTTTTACGTTTAATTTGTGAGTTGAGAGAAAAATGGGTGCTTGCATATATTATAGATACAAATGCACTTATATCTATATGCACCCTGATATGTGTGCCTTTTTTCATTTTGGGAATGTCTAAAATTTAGACATTTAAAAGACAATCCCAAAATGAAAAAAGGCACACATACCAGGACCCGAGAATTGCACCTAGCTCAGGAAACTCTCGTGTGTATATACGAAGAGATATGGTATCACAGCATCATTTGTAACAATGAAAAACATAATTTATAAAAAATGAAAATTTGAAGACTACATAAATGTGCTTTAGTTTCAATGATACATGTATACTGTGGAAACTAGTGCTGACATGGATCGATAGGGGATATAGTTGAATTTATATTAGAGGAAATGACAGACCCTGAATGTATATACCAGTGATAAGAGTAATTACTCCAAAACTGTTCACAGCTCTTGTCACTGAGAATGCTATTAAAATTGTAATGTTTGTCACAAAGGTCTTTAGTCTTATCTCAAGTGTTTTTATTCTTTTTTAAAGAGAAAGTTTATTTAAAGAGATACTACATAAAAATAACTAAAAGAGTTCTTACTATCTCTGTTCAGAAAGTCTGAGTGTTCTTGTACATCTGGTTGTTCTGAATGTCTTGACTTGCTAATTAAATTGTAGATTGTTTTGACAAGTTAACCTACCTAGTCATTTCTTGGTTTTGTTTGTTTTGAAGCATAATCCCAAATCCCATAATCAGCTTAGTGAAAATGTGCTATCATTATGGACCTCCTTTTATTATTTGGATGATACTTTTGTGTCCTTCATATTTATAAATAAAATTCATAGTAAATGAGAATTTTATTTTAGTTATTAGGCAAAACTTTCAGTCATTTAAAAGGAAATTTAAAATCAACTTATTGTTCTTTCCTTTGTAGGTCGTTTATATGCTATGCAAACTGGAATGAAGATTGATAGTAAAACTCCTGAATGTCGTAAATTTTTATCAAAGTTAATGGATCAATTAGAAGCTGTAAGTTAAACACGGATAGTTTATTATCAGAATGAGTTTTAAATACCATTTTATTTTGTGTGTTTATGTACTCATTTGTATATATTGGTCATTTTTGTTCTTTCCCTTGGCAACATTCAGCAGTATCATTATACCTGAGGAAAAAAATGATACACCTTTTTTTGTATTTACATCATACTCTAAGAGGAACTGTTGAGTATAAATTAGGTTGAACTGTCTACTTATATAGGTTATATCTTTTTCCCCATTTTTGTAGATCACTTTTGGCTCATCATCTGTTGAGTGTCAAACCCTTTCTAACCTTCCCTCACATAGTCCTGTGGATGTTTGTTTTGGAAAGCCTTAAATAGCTCTTATCATGATGAAATAGGCTATTTTCTTTAGTGGAAGATGAAAAAGGAAATGGCACCAGTTACTTATCTTCTCTTCCTCCCCTTCTGAGTGTCAGGGCATGCTACTCTTAGGGTTTAGCATCATTCCCTCCTAGCAGGAATGTGGGGGTGACTAATAAGTCACATTCTTGAACATTTTATAACTTCACGAGTCACTGTAGAGTTGGCTATTGAGGAAAAATCGAATGGGTTGGATTGAATGTCAGTGCATAAAGCATGCAGTGCCAGCCATAGTAGTTTCACTTCATAATCAGGCTGCCCTGTGATTTTTGTGGCCAGCTGTCCTGGCGTTTGCTTTTAACAAAGTTAAGGGCTAGTCCATATCGATGCATCTTCTCCTAGGCTATTACACTGATAGCTGTGGCTTATTTTCTATTGTCTAAATTTTTAAAATTTCCATAATCTAATTCTAAGTTGGTCATCTTATTTAGAGTTAGATTTTTTTACACATTGTGCAAAAAAATTAGACATAATGATTCTTCGAGTCTTTTTTATATTTGATAGAAGAAATTTAAATGAGACTAAATTAAGATTTTTAATTATATATTTTTGGGGAATAATTTTCTAATTTCACTTTTAGGGTAACTTATAGTATATGGGATAATATTGTTGAAATATTTTTCTGATGCTTCATAAGAATACTTGCATATATTATCTGATTGTTCTTGGTTATTTTTTGTCTTTAGAACTAAATTATATTATTATGTTATCATAAGTATATTTCTTCATAGTTGTGTAAAAATTGGATTTTGTTTTAAATACATTGGACTAAGAGACAACCACTTTCTGTAAGATTTCATTGATACATTTTATTGAAATGAATATAAAATAATTTACTTTAAATGATTATTAGTTTCGTGTGCACTTAAGCAGAGACTTAAAAATTCAGAACTATGAGCTATGTATCTGATTTTGTTTTAGCTTAAGAAACAGTTGGGTGATAATGAAGCTATTACTCAAGAAATAGTTGGTTGTGCTCATTTGGAGAATTATGCTTTGAAAATGTTTTTGTATGCAGACAATGAAGATCGTGCTGGGCGATTTCACAAGTAAGTAAAGAAAGAAGAAACTAAAATTTACTTTATAAGTTTATTTATTGCCTGATATGAATTATCTTGTTTTCATTTGAAACTTTAATGATTTAGGTTTTTTTTTGTTTGTTTTGTTTTAAATTATAGACCTTCAGGATGACTTGGGGTCATAAATATGGGGCTTTCTTTTTAGAGAAATGGCTGAAAAAGGGCATGCTTTGCTGTTTTTTGTTTTTTTTACCCCCAGGTAAATTTACTCTAATTAGCCATTAGCCATTCTTAACATTTTGGAAAATCTAAGAGTATGTTTTCACCAAAATCACAGCCTAACCTGATAATGTTGATTTTTTGAAGTGTTCCTCCCAATTCAAATGATTTGTCATTATTATTATTATAATTTAATAATTAAATGTACAGAAGTGCATTATGATACTGTATGGATTCAGGTAGTACTCTAATTATGTTTTATAAAATCAAAACTATACTATAAAGCCTTGTTTTAGCATTTTTGTAAGTGTTGGTACTTTCTTCTAATAACATTAGTATAGGAGTTCCATTGTGTTCTTGAAATCTGATTTTATTTAAACATTAGTTTCAAAGTGATTTTATAAACCTTGCAATTTTTGTTCTTCAAGCTAGGCGGCTAATCTTACATTGTAATTTTTTTCATTTAAACTAGACTCTCTTTTTTCTTCTAGAAACATGATCAAGTCCTTCTATACTGCAAGCCTTTTAATAGATGTCATAACCGTATTTGGAGAACTCACTGATGAAGTGAGTGTATATTCTTTGTCTTATTAGTTGAAGATGAGTAATGTTGCCATTTATCAATTTTATTATTTTATGATTTATTTAAAGCAATGTATCCTTCAGAAGTATAATGGAAACAAAGCATAATTTAAAAAATTTTTATTAGCCACTGTTTAAAAATGAAAAGAAATGGGTAAATTATTTTTAATAGTATATTTTATTTTTTGTACTAAGTTCTTTAAATCCAGCATGTATTTTACTCTTCACCGTACGTATAGCAGCTTTATTAGCCAGCTACAAGTTTAGAATTTGATTTTATTAAGTGTTCATATGTTATTAATCCTGTATAGTATTAAATTTCTATGCTATTATCTGATAAAATTACCAGAGGCAAGTCTTTAGGACTTTTTTTCCATTTCATTTCTAGTCAGAAGTATTATTGCTCATGTACATATGGAACTTGATTTTTTAAAAGCTACTTTATATCCATTTTATTAATTTGTTTCTCATAATGATTCTAAGATAAGCATAGTACATAATTATTTTATACATGCCCACATAGAGGCTACGTGACAAAAGTCATTGCTTTGAATTCAGTTTTGTTTTCACTGTAACAGGCTTTACAATTGGCATGAAAATTTTGTTTTGTGAAAGGAAAGATATTTATCTGAAAAGAGATAAAGAGAGCTACATACTCGACTGATGTAGTCATGATATATGGTGGTTTAAATACTACAAAGAGCATCGTGTTCCATGATAGGATTTTTTAAAAATAATTTGCAGCTCTTAGTAAAGTTCCAAGCAAAAAGTACTGTCTATCTGTGAGATGTATGTTTTTTTTTAAAAAAAAAAAAAAGATTGTATATGAAAACTGCAGAAGTTCTTTTTATTTGTACATAAAATGTAGTTATGCTATAGCTTAAATGATTAGAAGTAGGGACTTTGCCAGCTTAAAAGTTGTATAGGACATTTCAGAGTTGTGACAAATAACAACCAATTATTTGACTGGGTTTTTCTGTCCTTTCTATTCAAGAACATCAAGCATTCCTGGCCCTTTCCCACACAATGCCAGTAGCATTCATTAGTCATTGAAATAACCAAGTACTACCTTTTTGTACTCTGAAGGCCTTATAGGTACATCCTACTTAACTGCCTTTATGGTTTTCAAGAAAACCAGGATAGTGAAGGAGAATAGTGAGAAAAGTAAGTTATAAGCCAGATTAGACTGATAATAGAAGGCCTGCAATCTTTGATTAGTGTAGTGTTGTAGTAAAGAACTGTACTTTGGGGGTGTTTATATGATAGGAATCTGTAGAAGGAGAGAACTGCAAGCCATTTGGCAAAGGAAGAATGATTTGATGAATTCTGTACACCTTAAGTACAAAGTAGAGAGTCATACACATGGGATTGTTTTGATTGGAGAAAATAATATGTTCAGACTTAGATTTCAAAATTTGAAGCATAGATGACATCAAAAAGAAATTACTCTTGGAAATAAATAGGCAAGAAATGGCAAAGTAGAGGGAACAGTTCAAGTTATGAAAGTCAGGTTGGATTATTTTAAAAGAAAGGAGAACATGTTCAACTAGATATCTTGGTAAACATCTGTATTTAAAATACAAGAGGAGAAAGTAAAGTTATAAATACTAGAAATGTTCAGATAATATGAAAAAACTAGATAAAGAGAACAAAATTTCTAGAAATCTCAAGTAATAGGTTCTTCTCATTTAAAGGATACCTAAACACTTTCACACACATAAAGCCTATGATTTTTCTGCATTTCAGAAGAAACTTCTAATTTCATGTACCCTTGATGACAGTTTCCTTAGTTGTTTGAATATTGTAACTAAGGCAAAGACTTCAAATGAGGCCACTGAGAAGGCTTCCCAAGAAGTTCAGGATGGTGAGGCAGAATTTGCACAGATACTGAGGTTACCAATAAGGTTGCATAAAACATTTTCCCCAAATGTTGACACTCTTCCCACTTAGGTAGCTCACTACCCAGTCAGCTACCTAAGCACCTCATGTGCCCTGCACTTGCACTAAAACAAAATAAGAAATAGCATCTTTATTGTTGAATAAGGGACTCTAGATACCTGGAGGGGTCTGGAATGGTACAGGAAAAAAAAAAAAGAAAGAAAGAAAGAAACAGAGAGAGGGAGAGAGAGAAAGAAAGAAAATTAAACAATTTAAGGCCAAAGTTGAAAGGGAAGCCCCTATTGTCACCTGATTGTCTGAGGTTTATTCTTAGGCCTTCGTGTAAATTCCACATTTTTAGGTTAGAAAATATGTGAGTACACAGTTAACAGGTAATTATGTAGCTGTTTTCATAACCATTATGCTATAGTGATCTTATCTTTACATGACTAAGGATTTTGTACTATGAGTGAAGATTAACTAAATGTATGAAGTCAACCTACAAGGAAAGGGTGCCAGTAAGACTGGCCATATGCCATCAGCATAATCCTGAAACCAGTCAGTTTGATCATCCTTTTTCAAATTTGCTTTCTCTTAATTTTATTCCATTTTGTTGTTGTTGTTGTTCCATTGTTTTTCATTTCTAGAAATGGAGTTTTCATAATGATTACTGAGATTAACTTTTTAAAAAAATAATGGCCTAAAATGCCACTAATTTTAAATGATGCTCTGTTTGAGTAGAATAGGGAGAAATACACTCTAGCTGTGATTTTTTATCCTACAAATATGGATAAACTGAGTAATCGGTGGCATCAGCCCTTTCTCATAGTTCCTTTGTGTAAATGTAAGACTTATATATACTGGTGATATAAGTATAAGGTACCTAAAATAAGACACAAACTATTGTAAAATTTCTTATTTCAAAAACTAATAAAAAGCTTAGTTGTACAAACTGGTTATTTAAAGCATTTAGCAGTTTTAACTCATTCCCTCCTTTCCACTTCCACTTTAGTTTCATCCTGTACTTTGAAAAAACTAACAGAGGCAAAGACAGGAAACAGAAAAGTGGGAAAAGAATGAGTTTGAGGATTTCAGGTAGGCAGATTTTATTTTAAATATATAATCTTTAGATGTACTTCAGGACTCTATAACTAGTATATTGATTTATAAAGGAAAAGCAGTGGTGGTACTGAACTGCATCATATTCCATAGATTTTCAGCACAGTCGAAACTCTCTTCAAAATTGTTCCTTCCCTTGCTCCTTAAAATATGCTGTTTGAGAAACACTAAAATAGCATCAGAAATTGGGGAGAGGAGCATTATAATTGTTTTTGTTATTGTATTTTTAAAGTATATTTCCAGGGTTGGGGCTGTGACTCTGTGGGAGAGCACTTGCCTAGTTAACAATAGGCCCTGGGTTCAGTCTTCCAGTTGTCTCTTATTGGCCCTAAAAATTATGCTAAAAAGAAAAGAGACTCTGGTTGTCAGAGCCAGGCTTCACTGAACTCCAGAACAAGAAGTCATGTTACCTCCCTGGATTTAATTACTCTCCTATAAAGCAGAAAGCTTAGATAAGACAATCACTGCAGTCATTTCAACTGTACCAGGCTGTGATTATATATGCAGGCACATGAGAAGTAATGGGAAAAGGAGAATAAAGAAGATGAAAAAGCAGACCAAAAAATGAAAAGGCAGAGAGAAACTGAAAGTTTTTAATTAGGAGCTAGGAGGTGGGGGAGGGTATAAAAAATTGATTAGTGATAAGTGGAACCACTGAAAAATATGGCAGCAAGGAAGAAAGTTCTGGGAAGAAGGGGGATGTCAGGTCTCATAGCAACAATACTAGGAGGTTCAAAATACCAATATAACACAAAATATAAAAATAATAGGAGGTAATAAGCATAGAAGAAGCAACCTGAACACCTGAAGCCTTTTGTAGGATATTTGTAGCATAATGTTTGTGAGTCTTCCAGTTAGGTTTTTAATTGAAATTTCAGCACTTTGCATAAAAGTCACTGGATCACAAGCTGAAATAGTGTAATTTACCTAATTTATTTATCTTCCTATTTTGAGCTCTGTTTCTCCACAGTCCATTCTCTTCTGTCATTGTTTTATTAAAGAACGTTCAGGGACTTTTGTTTCCTGGCACTGCAAGTCTAGGCTCTCCTGCTAGATTTCCAGGCTTTCTATCATAGTTTTCCGTACCTGACTTATACTACTTACCTGTCCTAATTTTTGTTTGTCGGACTTGTCTGCTCACCATCCTGTCAGTTTTCATTTGGAAAATGCATTTTTAGCCTGCTTTGCCTAAGTTTTACCTTCTCTTCAAATCTTATTCTAGCCTGTGTATGAATTTGTCCATTTTCTCAATTCTTTACCCTTTATTTAGAGTTACTTATAATTACATTGTAACTATACTGACTTTTTTTTAATATTATAATTCAGAATGTCTCATTTTCTTCTTTTCCTTCTTAAACGTTAAGTATAAATTTATACACTGAGTAAAATATCAGATAAAAGAAGTGACTGATTACTTGATGTTTCAAACATTGCTATAGTCAGCCTTTTATTTTTCTATCTGTAGATCGAAATATTTAGACTTTTGTATACAGAATTTCTTTCCTAATTCTCCTCAAAAGTAATAAATCTCATTTACTCACCAAATTTTTCTTGGTCCGTTCCTGGTATTTTTTTTCCTCTTCATATTATTACTCATACAAAACTAAATAAGCGTATATTTTCCTTAGTCTTCAACTCATTTGTTGTTAGTTTTTAAAGTATAATTGATCTGCCCCTATTTCTTTCTCAACTCTCTTATCTCTGTTTTAAATATATACATTTAACTTTTATCTGTGCCTTATATCATTTCTTTTCAGCATTTTAATTAAATTTCTGCTATATAAACCTTTAGTATTCCTGTGGCTCTCTTTGAGTCAGTGTCCCAGTTTGAGGAATAGAAACACCAGAGTATATATTACTTTTTAAAAAACATTTTATATCTTAGAGCAAGGGATCTTCAAAATACAATTATTTTTCTTCTATAATGGTATTTTGTGTAATCTGCATCCAGTATTATTCATGGGCTTCCTTTTATTGTATTTTAGATT